CGTTGAATCGCTCCGGATCAAACTTGTCCGGCTCAGGGAAGAACGCGCTCCTCCTGTTGCTCTGGAAGACGCTCCACATGAACTGGCCATCAATCAAAGAAGGATTTTACGTGATCATAAGAGAATTTCTTGAGATGATCGAGTGAAGGAACTTACTCGCCAATCTTTTGGAACTGTGAAGCCCTCGATGGTCATGTGTGTGATCGCTATCCGCGTGTTTCCCAGCGCTGGAGGGACCAGACGCATGGCTTCCTGGACAACTTTCCAGGTGTAGTTCATCTTTTGGAGATCTTCTAGACGGAGTGGCTCGCTCGAATCCTTCGCAGCAGCTATGGCAAGATGCTCTGGTCATGAAACTTTGAGAGTTAGATCATAGAGGTTGATGGTAAAAACCTTGTCGAAGTCGATCGTAGCACCAGGGATTCTCAGCGATGCATTTCATGGAGACCGCCAGAGTGCTAGCAGTGGTGTCGTGCCCGGCCAGTACCATCATGAGGATGTTTTGCTTTACCTCTTCCTCGCTCATGAGCTCTCCATCTTCTCCCCTCGTTGTCAAAAGAACGCTGAGCAAATCTTGCTCAGCCGACGCCTTCCCTTCCTGGAGCTCCACCTTTCTCTTATTTATAAACTTGTCCAGCTTCCCAGAGATCTTGCGCGTCGCAAGCTTTGCCTGCCGAAACTTGGTCCCGGGAAAGTTGATGGGCAGCTCGAGTAACCCGTGCAAAAACTCCTCAAATGGAACCAAGAGCTCTCTCTCCTCCTCGTCGTCTTGTATGCTCAAGAACAAGTTAAACACCACCGAGAACAAGGCCTTCTTAACAAGAAAATATGCTCGAACTTCCGATCCATCCAACCAAAACTTCTCGATGTGTGCCTGGGCGATGGAGCTGGCCCTTGCGACATACCTTCGCATTGCCTCGGGGCCAAGGAACGCCATAAGTATGTGACGGAAGCTCTTGGCTCTCTGGCCCTCCATGAAGAACAAGCTCTTGTCACCCATGAGCATCTTCATTGGCGCTGGCCAGGAGCTCTCCACGAGCTTGCCATGGTTGGAGAACAAAAACTTGAATCCAAGAGGAGGGCTTACCACTACCGTGGGGTGGCCAAACAGGTGTGTCTTGAAAACAGGACCATACCTTCGCTCGCGAGACTCGAAGAATTCCGATAGACTGTTTGCTTTCATGCTGTACAAGACATGGAGAGTTTCTCCCAGGAATGGGAGCCCAAAACTCCCCGGAGGCGTCGGGGGATCATAGGATTTCTGCGAGAAAGCCCTCCATATCCATAGGCCGGCCAATACTAAGCTCACCACTGCTACTAGAAACTCTAGCATCTTTTCTCTCTTTCTCTAGCCCTTGTTCTTGAAATTGAGGTTACCTGTGAAGGATCGAGAGAAGACAATGCCGCCTTGCACGTCCTGACTGTAGCATCGAATCTTTATTTGACCTTACTTGACTGTTCTTGAGTTTATTCCTCTTACGAACTATGACGATCAAAACCTGATTTTTACTGAACCGAGTCTTACGCCCATGCGATTGACGGGGAGAGCGGGTGGGTCATGGCCTCGTTTGGATCCAGTAGCGTCCAAACCTTGTGACACGGTGGTATAGAATAATGCGGTCTTGCATCTTGGCGACCTTGTATCCGAAACAAACGCGAGGGCCCCCGCTAAATGGAACGTAGGTGTTTGAAAGCAATGGGCGATTTAATCGATCTGGATTAAAGTTTTGAACGTGACTCGAACCCGGACGTGTGTTACGAACGCGTTTTTCACCCGAACGCGTTAATTGGTAACTATGCCGGGAGTAATAGCGGTGGTGAGCTTAGTACTGGCCGGGATATGGATCTGGAGGGCTTTCTCACAGAAATCCTATGACCCAACTATGCCGTTCCTGGAAGAAACTCTCCATCTCTTGTACAGCATGAAAGCAAACAATCTATCAGTAAACTTTGCCAGTCCTTTGGAACTGTGAATCCATCCATGGTAAATTCATTTGTTTCAGAGGTTTTTCCGCTGCAGGGGGAGCCAAGCGCATGGCTTCCTGGACGATCTTCCAAGTGTAGTCCATCTTTTGCAAATTGCTGTGATTTAGTGGCTCATTTAGAGATTTGGCAAGTTTCCATTGCTGAAAATGTCAAAATTTATTCTTCATGTCATTAAAGGGCAAAACATAAATGAAAAGCAAATTTAAAATTTATTTATGAGCCATTAAAACTTCTATATTTAAAATTACTTTACACAAAAGTTGAAATTTTGAATTGATCTAGATGTTATGATATATACCATGCATAACTATGTTAACACACTATGGCGGTACTCCAAATAAGACTTCCTTACATCTCCTCTTGCATTTTTTACTGATTTTTAATAAAGGTTTATAACTCATGAACAACATCATAAATAATTCAAACTTTCTTAATTTTATGACACCACGATCGGCATTAGGATTCTAATAATTTCAATGTTTATCTTTGCAACTACCTCCTCAACAAGGACAAAGTCAATTATTCCCCCAATTAATATATCTTTGAATTTCCTTTTGACCTATGTTGACTACGTTATCAAAGCTAATGCTTAATCTGAACAAGAACCACAAAACACTTAACAGCAGGAAGGAGAAGGGGATTAATTCCCCATACACCAAATAAATAAGCTTAAGGCACTTTAAAAATGTCTATCTATCGATATATAATTTTACATTAAGAAATTCAATAATATTACATATATATATCTAACTTCTAGACTTCCAAAGGCCTCATCTCCAAACGCTTCCACTCCACCTTGGAGTCCGAGCGCTTCTTCCACACACTCAGAAGAATCGTCGCCGCGAAGAAGCCTCCCACAGCAAACCACAAGCTCGCAGTGAAGAAATAATTCGCACCACTCCCAGCGCGATCGATGGACCTCACCGCGTTTTGCTGGGACGAAGACAGTAGCATTGAGGAGGAAGCTGGAATCTCGACGTAGTCGTGGACTTCACCATCGCCATTCCCCACGTAAGACAGCCGGAGGAGCTCTTTTGTGGCGTGGAGCCTCACGTAGCCAAACTCCTCACTTCTAAACACGGACCACTCGGGCTGCGGGAAGATTGGATACTCTGGATGATCACTGCGAGGCTCCCACTGCGGCTGCCAGTCCTGTCCGCCCATCCCAATCACCACATGAACCGGAGCAAAGCTTGATCCATCCGCGGCTGCGCAGCTGAAGTTCTTCACGGCACAGGTCCTCTCGTACTTGTGGACGTGTCCCCAGAGCGCAACGTCCACTCGGTTCTTCACCAACACCGGCTCGAGGTGCTCCAGCATTCTCGATCTCACTGGACCATCTCGGACCTCGTGGTTGCTCGTGTACATCGGCCTGTGACCGAGCACCACCACGAACGGCACCTTGCTCCTGTCTACGGCCTCGAGATCCCGGACGATGAACTCGTACTGTCTGCTTCCGGGGAGAAAGTCCGTCTCGGTTGAGAAGTAGAGGAAGTGTACCACGCCGAAGTCGAGCGAGAAGTAGAGGTTCTTCGTCGCTGGTGCCTTGGTCCCGGTCAGGAGCGTCGAATTCCCAGGCATCTGGAACTTGAGACTGTAAGGGACGCCGCACTCGCCACCTCCATCGGTTCCATAGACTCTCAGCGCCCAGTCCGGCTTCCAGGGTTGCAAAGGCCAGTCGTACTCGTGGTTGCCGATGCAAACGGTGTAGGGAGCTCTCGCTGCTACTGGCTGGATGCGGTGAAAGAACTCGTCCCAAAGCCAAGCGTATCCTCGAGCGTAGCTTATGTCTCCAATGTGAGAGATAAACGTTGGCTTGTCCTCGAGTTCGTCTAAGTCGCGCTCCAGCCACTTGAGAGTGCTAGCGCTCTGGGCTTGCGTCCAAAGGAACGTTTTGTAAGGTACTGTGGTTCCCAAATCTCCGAAAAGAAGAGCGTTTGTCTCGTCACCTTCTTCCGGGGACGAGACGAAGCTGTACGTTTTGCTCCATCCTCCCTCCTTGCTTCCCACCTGGAAAAATTGATCGATCAACAACGATGGTGTTCTTGAAAGCTTCTGAAGAACATACCTGGTAAAAGTATCGCTTGCTGGGCTTGAGCTTTCCAAGAACACCATCGTGAATATATCCAGGATTTCTCCACCCCAGAGTAGTGTTTGCCGGCTCGTCACACATATCACCTTGCTGGTAAGTGATCGACTTCGTCGCCACTGTCAAATCGAGAGAGTCCTGCTCTGTTCCATAGAGTATAAAACACTCTAGCGCGTCTCTGGTCACAAACATCACACGAACTTCCCCGAAATTCGATGTCAAAGAGAGATGGATCTGCGTTGGCTCGTTGAAGCTCGCGAACTGGACATCATCCGACACTGCCAGTCGGGAATCTGTGCTTGGAAGAGGATTTCCATCCTCGTCGAATCGCGAGCTCTTGGATGGAGGAATCCCTCGAAAGAGCCGGAGCTGATAGGCCGCTCGCATGTTTACCAGTGGGAGCTGGAGCGATCCTTTGCCCTCTCGCCAAGCCGCGGAGGAAGAAGAGAGGAGAAGATACCCGATGAAATTACCATCGAGACTGTCCGGTGGCGTGTAGATCCCGATCCAGTCCAATGGCGACGGCGACTCCAGACCCGACCATTCCACCGTGATAATCTCGCCAGAGCGGTCAAGAACCTTTGGAGAGACATCCAGAGTGACCGAATCTACCCTGCCGCCGATCGCTGCGGCTGTGAGAAGAATCGCGAGCGCAATTCGCATCCTTGCTTGCGATTCTCTCATGGATCGATGAGATCGGTGAAGAGAAGAAGAGAAAACCCTGCGTGCATTCTCGTGGAACCCTAGACTCCCCAAGTCGCGCAAGATATTCCTTTTTCAAATGCTTTGATCCCTCCCTCGGTCCGACGGTCCATAGCATAGTTTGTCTTACTTGATCCGACGGTCCATAGCAATCCTTTTCCTTAAACCCTTTCTGCCCAGAGCCATATAAATAGGAGTTTTAGGGTTCTCCCAAGAACAGCCGATGGAAGAAAGCAATCCAACAGGCGATGAAGCGCCGCCATCGCGATCCGGAGACAGGACGCTGTCCAGGTATGATTCTTTGGAGCGCATCGCGAGCAAGGTCTCCGGGCTCGCGAATGTCAAGGTTATGACCACGGCGCTGCTGCTGCGCCTAGCTTTTCAATCGATCGGGGTCGTCTATGGCGATCTAGGGACGAGCCCTCTCTACGTGTTTAGCAGCACATTCCCGAATGGGATCGATCCACAGCACGTCGAGGCGAACGTTTTGGGGGTTCTATCGCTCATCATCTACACGCTCACACTCAGCCCTCTCCTCAAGTACGTTCTAGTGGTGCTCCAGGCCAGTGACAACAACGAAGGCGGGACCTTCGCGGTCTATACTTTGCTGTGCCGAAGCATCAACGTGGGAGTTTTCGGTCGAAAGGCTCATCCAGATGATCGAGCTCTCTCCGGCTACGACGTCGTTCCCAGGATCACTGGCAGGTTTCGAGAAGGGATCCGGAACTTCATGGAGGGTCGCAAGGCAGTGCATATGATCCTGCTGCTCGTGACTTTGCTGGGGACTTGCATGGTGATTGGCGATGGTACTCTTACTCCGGCCATCTCAGTGATCTCGGCTGTTCAGGGGATCCAGGTCCAGGTGAGCTCTCTCGGACAGAACATCATCGTGGCCATCTCGGTCGTGATCTTGGTGCTGCTCTTCAACCTCCAGAGGTTTGGCACGGACAAAGTTGGCTTCATGTTCGCGCCGGTTCTCACCGTCTGGTTCGTGGCTATCGGCGTCATCGGTCTCTACAACATCGGAGCTCACGACTTGAGCGTGCTCAGAGCTTTCAACCCGAAGTTCATCCTCGACTACTTTCTCCTCCGCAAGCTGGACGGTTTTATCTCGCTGGGAGGGGTGGTGCTGTGCATCACCGGCACGGAAGCCATGTTTGCGGACGTTGGCCACTTCAGTGCGCGCTCCATCCAGATCGCCTTCGTGCCTTTTGTTTATCCGACGCTCTTGCTGGCTTACTGCGGGCAGGCAGCCTACCTGATGAAGCATCCGGAAGACGTTGCCAACGCTTTCTACAAGTCGGTGCCAGCGGCGGTCTACTGGCCGATGTTCGTGGTGGCGGTCTTGTCTGCGATCATCGCGAGCCAGGCCATGATCTCGGCGGTTTTTCAGATCATCAAGCAGTCGCAGGCGATGAGCTGCTTCCCGCGGGTCAAGGTTGTCCACACCTCGAAGCGTTTCCCCGGGCAAGTCTACATCCCCGAGATGAACTGGTTCCTCATGCTGGCCTGCGTCGTGATCACCATCATCTTCAAGAATACGACCACCATCGGGAACGCCTACGGCATCTGCGTCGTCTCGGTGATGTCGGTGACGACGTTCTTGACCGCGATCATAATGCTCCTGGTGTGGAAGACGAATATCCTGCTCATCCTGGCCTACTTTGCGATCTACGCGATGCTGGAGCTCACATACTTTTCGTCGGTGCTCGTCAAGTTCACGGAAGGTGGCTGGCTTCCGATGCTGTTCGCGGCAATCTTCATGAGTATCATGTTCACGTGGTTCTTCGGGAGCTCCAGGAGGAACAAGTACGAGCTCGAGAACAAGATGTCGGTGGAGTGGATCACGGGTCTCGTGACAAACAACAGCATTCTGCGAGTTCGTGGAGTGGGATTGATCTACACCCGCCTCTCACAGGGAGTCCCGGCCATGCTCTCGCACTACGTGAGCAACGTTCCAGCGATCCACTCGGTGCTCGTGTTCGTGACGATCAAGAATCTCCCAGTGAGCAGCGTGGTTTCAGAGGAGCGCTTCCTCTTCAAGCGAGTTGGAAGCAAGGAGCTCCGAATTTACAGGTGCATTGCTAGGTATGGCTACCGGGATCATCACAGGGGGGACAACGAGTTTGAGAACTCACTGTTCCAGAGCCTGGAACGATTCATCCGGCTGGATGAAGCACCATCATCAACACCAGCAGCAGCAGAAGCAAATCATCGAGAAGAAGTCGAGGAGACGACGAACTTGAGCAGCGATGGTCCTCAGAGTGATGGCACCACAAGGATCGAAGTTTTCCCAGTCGTGGGTGGAGATCTAAACGGTGGTGGATCCGCGGTGGAGCAGGAGATAATCTCGTCGCCGCAAGAGGAGGACGAGGAGGAGATCGAGTTCCTGAGGAACTCGAGGAGAGCCGGCGTTGTCTACGTGCTGGGCCACACCGAGGTGGTGGCGCGCAAGGATTCCAGCGTCATGACCAAGTTCTTCATCAACACGCTCTACGCGATCCTCCGCAAGAACTTCCGCGAGAGCCGCCTCATCCTCGAAGTCCCTCACGAGAGGCTCTTAAAGATTGGCAACGTAGCTTACATCTAGAAAGAGCTTGTATGACCGGTCAACGAAACGTTGACTTGGTTCAACCTTAAATTTCGAAAAAAGTTTATGTACGGACTAGAAGAGTGTACGGATATGACGTAGTAACGGTAGATTGTCTCTTGGCCTTCGTTATTTTCCTAGGGTAAGATCTCTCGAGAGGAGGGAGAGCAATGCCGCGGCGCCCAATCGATCGGCAGCATTCCCAGGTACGCGCCACGGATTTCTGGAGCTCGATCCTGCCGCGCGGTTTGATTCGGGGGATCGGGAGAGGCCGCAGCTACGATATTTCGGAGACTTTCCATGAAGGATGAAGTTCCCGGAGGAATGCCTGCGCTCTTGCTTGCAAGTCTGCCGGGGATTTTCGGATGCTGAGCGGCCAGCTTGGATCGTGCCGTCGCTGGTCGCCACAGCTGCGCTGGTGGGGTTTTTGGTGGGGCGGTTTGATGTCACGGCTCTGATCGGCAAGCTAGAGCGGGTTTTGCGAAATGGAGAGCCTAGAGCGATCCTTTCGCAGCTTTCAGGGATTCTTTGGGGGACAGGAGGGAGCTTTAGACATCACGTAGCTTCACAGGTTAGAACGAAGCATAGCTGCTTGATCAGGACGATTAGCATTGAGGAAGGCAAGAGAGCGGTGACTTTGAACCAGAAAAGCATAGAGGTGGTGAAGGAGCACAAGAGCGATGATTCGCCGCAGCCATCTCCTCAATCGACAAACTCTAGCTCCAACTCTGGGTCCGGATCTTTCAAAAAGGAGAACCTGTCTCCGTTGCTGGTTGGATCGAAGAAGTCCACTCCGGCGAGCTCGATCTCAAGCCTGGAAAACAGTCCCGTGGGTACGCTACGAAGGAGGAGGGAATTGGAACTGGACGCTATGGAGGATAGTGGATGTTACAACCAAAGCACTTCCTCTGGGAAGCCAAGGCCGCTATCCATCCCGACATCAAACACTACACTCTCAGATTGCGGGACTCCAAGTCTTTCTTCGCTCGAGTATGAAAGGCTACAAGATCTGCCGGACGATGGAACTATTCCTGCCGCTGCGTGGATGTGTGGCAAAGATGTGGTCTCCATGGACCTTTCATGCAGCAGCATGAAGTGGCTGAATCTCATTGAGATTGATCTGGACACTGTTTATGGTGAGGACTGGTCCCAGCGTGTTCATCCGGACGACTTACTGCGCTCCAAGGAGGTTATTGCTCGGGCTGTAGGCTCGAAAGTGCCATTCCAGATGGAATATCGCCTACAGGTACTTGGGAAACCAGCTCGTTTATCTTTGCTTACTTCTCTCGGTTCAGGTAGGCCAAGACCATTTTAGATGGGTTCTGGATATTGGCAAGCCAAGGTTCTCTTCCTCTTTGACTACTGCGGAGTTTCTCGGTTTCGTTGGCTGGAGGATTGATATACACGAGCGGAAGACTATTGAGAATAACTACTGGAAGTACTGGACACTGCCACACGAGTTCTTGGTGACATGGAGTGGTGACGGTCAGTTCTTTGACAATGTTAGTACGAGTTTACCATCTTTCCTCGGGTATGTTTCGTATTTTTTTTTTGGGCATATCCAATTCAACTCTTTTACAGATATACCATGGAGGAATTTAAAGCTGTTCCTTGGATTGAATGGCTGCACGAGGAAGATAAGGCGACTGCAAGCGATGCGTTCTCAAAGCTTAAAGATGGGAAAGCAGTCGTCAATCTGGTTAATCGCTATCGTTGCAGGGATGGCATGGTATGAATGCTATTGAACTCTCTGTTTTTTCGTGACACATTTGTAACTCTCAGGTAGCCTCTCCTTTGTACATAGACGGGACTGGGACTTACAAGTGGCTTAATTGGACGGCAAATGACATGTTTGCAGCTTGTCGTGATATAACTGCGGACAAGCTAGCTCAGGTGGAGCTTCAAAGATCACAGCAGGAACTGCAGAGGTATTTCTGAGAATATTTCTGGTACATATGACAACACGCTCTTTTTTTTTACGCAGACTCACGGACGTGATTCCAGGTACTGTGTGCTTGAAAGATTTGGACCATATAAAAAACTGTTTCTTTCATTTAGGTGGCGTTTTCCTTTGCCGAGTTGCCAAAGAAGGGACAGAGTGTTTTCCTTACATGAGCAAAGGCGCAAAGAATCTATTTAATTGTGAAATGAAAGGTGCATCTGTGACTTAAGTTTGCAGTTGTAACTTCTGCTTTCACTTTCTTTTTCAGAAACATGTGATCATGGAGGAAATCTGAATAGAGTGTTCGGTAAGCTCTCTTCTGTTTCTTGAGCTACCTTTGAGCTTTTTCTTCACAGGTTTGAACGTGCATCCGGATGATTGGCCAAGGTTAGAAGCCGAAATGAAATTGGCAGTCAGCACCCAAGCTCCTTTAGACCATGACTACCGGTATGCTATTTACTTTGGATTGAGCAACTCTAAGTCCAGTGATTTTACACAGTGTGCTGATGGACCGAAACACTAGATGGGTTAGAGTTCATGCAGTTCCGAGGTTTGATTCTATAAGTGGATCAACCGAATGGTCTGGAATTGCATGGGACATAACTGAGCAGCACCAGGTGGTTGCTGCACTTAAGGAAGCACGAGACAGCGCTGAAAGAGCTGCTCAAGCGAATAGAAAGTTCCTGGTAATAAAGTATTTCATCACAACTTATATCTGGTACTTGTCTACAGGCTCATATGTCACATGAAATTCGTACTCCTATGAATGCTGTGATTGGCATGGGAGCTCTAATCCTTGAAACGGACTTAACGGATGAGCAACGCGAGTATGCCTCTACGATTCGGAGCAGTGGAGAGGCATTGCTGGGGATTATCAATGATATCCTTGATTACAGGTAAGAAGCCGATCTAAGTTCACGTCATGCTGAGCTTGGTTGTGACAGCAAAATTGAAGCGGGTAAGATGGAGCTTGAGTTGCAACCTACAGAGATCCTGCAATGTGTTGAAGAATCATTTGATCTTGTCGCTCCTCAAGCAGCCGTGAAGGGTCTCGAGCTGACTTATAACGTAACGGATTCTGTTCCTAGCGTTTTGCTCGGGGACTCGGCTCGAATCCGCCAAATCTTGGTCAGTTGACTCTCGCAGCCGGCGGTTTACTCGCATCTGACTCTAATCTGCAGGTAAATCTTCTTAGCAACGCCGTCAAATTCACCGAGAAAGGATACATATCAGTGAATGTCACTGCACGCCAATTAGAAGATCCTGGGAGACTGCCGTTTAAGAAGTTCAACCGGAGCCTCTGGGAAGTTGAGTTTTCTGTGGCCGATTCCGGTATAGGAATCCCCGATGACCGAAAGTGCTCGCTCTTTCAAGTAAAGTTTCTTCATCCACCGATTTAAAGAACTAAAGAAGGTATGACGTTCTTATATGACTATTGGACTGATGTGTGTGTGTGCGCGCGCGCAGGCTTTCACACAAGGAGACACTTCAACTACCCGAAGATATGGTGGCACTGGGCTCGGTCTTGCAATTTGTGCGCGCCTATGCGGTCTCCACGGTGGTCGCATTTGGTAAGTATTACATGGCGTTGGGAAAGCAACTAACAGGACGGTGCAGGGAAGCAAACGACCGCAAAGAAGGCTCAACATTTCACTTCACAGTTCTAGCTGAAGATATGCCGAGATACAGCCAACCGGCTAGTGACCATGGAGATCTTCCAGGACTGAAGAACAAGCGAGTATTGATTGTCGCTGGGAGCAGCAGCAGCACACAGACAATGTGCTCTCGTCTGCTCAAGAGGTATAGAACTGTTTAGTTCTCTTCAGAGTGTTGGTTAATTGTTGTTTCTTTCTTTGCAGTTGGCATATGAGACCTGTTTGTGCAAGCACCAGCGATGAGGCCCTCATGCTTCTAACGCAAATGGTCGACTCTGCTAGCATTTCCTCGGGCCGGCTGGCCCGCTTTACTGAGAGATCACCGCGTGCGTTTGACGTTGTGATTTTCGACTGCTCGCTGGTGAACTCTAAATTTTCTGCATTCGTGCTTTGCACACTTATGGCTCATAACTTTGCAGCTTGATGCAGAGGATCCTCAAGTTATGGAGTGCTTGGGAGTCTGTCATGCAACGCTGCAGACAGTACCGACGTTGCTTCTGACACCTTTTGGACGAAGGACGCGTGACTACTATAGCGTAATTTTCTTGTTTTTCAACATGCATTGTCCCGTTCATTCTTGTGCTTCCAGGGTAAACAACCTGTGCAATTCGATGCTTACGTCTCAAAGCCGATAAAGGAATCCCATCTTCTCAACGCCTTGATGAGCCTGGTGCTGGAGCCGCGTGAAGCAGAGAAAGAGGAATACTATCAGTTACCTGGCGCTGCCTCGGCTAGAAAGCCGAAAAAGGAATCCTCGTCGCTAAGTCCCGCAAACAATGTCTCGGACTTGGGAAAGCTGTATCCACTTCGCATCCTTGTGGCCGAGGACAACATCGTCAATCAAAAGGTTTGCATTCCCTTTCTCGAGTCTTTTGGTAGGAAAACACTTTTTTCTCCACAGGTTATTCTCAAGCTGCTGTTAAGACTGGGCTACACAGCCGATGTGGTTGGAAACGGACGGGAAGCACTGGACTCCGTGATGCGTCAAGTGTAAGTGTAAGTTTTTGCTGCCAAATCCAGCTTGAGCTGAGGTGGTCTGTCCACAGCTACGACGTTATTCTCATGGATTGCTTCATGCCGGAGATGGACGGGCTGGAAGCATCGAGGAGAATCCGGGAGAACATAAGACCGACTCCTGTCATCGTTGCGGTGACTGCCGCGGCGTTGAAGGAGGAGATGCAAGCGTGCTTAGAAGCGGGCATGCATATGTAAGTTCTCTCCTCCAAGTTTTCGCTTTGTGTGTGTGTGTGTGTGAGAGAGAGAGAGAGAGAGAGAGAGTGAGTGCGTGTTCTTCCATTTTATCCCTGGAGTTACTTTGGATCTAGAGTTTCTTATGCTTGTTCTTGCTGGTGGTTCTCCAATCTTTTCCAATCGCGTAATTCTTTCTTGTTTTTCGTGCGCGCGCGTGTGTGTATGTTCTTCCATTGTTTCCCTGGAGTTACTTTGGATCTAGAGTTTGTTAGTTCTTGCTGGTGGTTCTCCAATGTTTTCCAATCGTGTGCGATTCTTTCTTGGTTTTTGCGATGGCTAAACTAGCTTCCCAGCCATCGTTTCTTACCTCGTGATTCTCTTCCTATACTTTTGATTTGATCGCAGGTATATATCCAAACCGATTCAGGCCGACGAGCTCATGCAGACGTTGGGAAAGTGCTGGCGAATGAAACACACGGAACCAAGTCAATAGAAAAAGAAGGGGAAATCTTGTGCGAATATACAAGTCAAAGGATATACCTTTTAGCTGGAAAGAATATTCTGTTAGGGTTGATACGGAGAGCATGTCGGGAGGGCGACGAGAAGCGCGTACTACAGCAAATGGCGGCGTGGAGCACTACGAAGACCGCTACTCTGGAGTGGTATGGTCTCCACCTTGCAATGCTGTGGATCTCTCTCCCAGTCCATTGAATCAATGGATCAATTTCTCTCAGCAGCGCAATCGACCCAAGCGAAATCTTGGCTTTCGAGCATGGATCAAGCGAATGCTGTTCCTTTTTGACGTTACAATGGTGCCTTACATGCTGGATTGGTGGGAGAGGCTCCTTGTCAGTATCCTTTCAATCGTCTCGTTCTCGCGAAAAAAAAATCCCTCTCTTTGTTCTTTCCCTTGACTGATTCTAAGGATTGGTCGTATTGATCGCGATGTGGTATGTGTGCTACAAGAGCACCCAAGTCGCGATGTGGTGCTTCGAAGAGTGAGTCCAAATTTCGATTCGATCGCTAGCCATTTTTTTTAATTCTTTCTCTTCGATCGATCTCACTGTGCTGTGTGTAGATTCTCGAGAAGATTGGAGAGCTCCAGCTGAGAAGAGATGATCGAAAAGATCACAGGCAAAGCGGTCACCTTGGTACTGTAAATTTTGCTCTTCGTGTTGCAAATCTGCTCGCTCGATTGATGCAAATAGATATAGATTGTTTCGATCAACCCATTCTCACTTGCTCTAAGCTTGCTCGATCGATCGCGAAGAAGGAAGATCTTTGCGTTCTTCTTGGTGTGAAGACTTTGCAATCAATCGAGTGGAAAAATCTGGGTGAAGTTAAAACCGGTGGGGCGTTCGAATCGCCCACGACGTCGCGGCTCTGCCGCATGCGGCAAGGGGGCCGCCGCACGCGGCGCATTCAAAGAAAAACCACACAAGCTAAATGGGCAGCTTCTCACTAGGTAGTCGCAATGGCATGGAAATGGCCAAGCGCTCGTCCTCTAGGGTTTTGACCATTGCGCAGCGCTGCCATGGATGACGACGCCACCACCGACGATGCCTCTCGCGGCTGCTGCTGCTGCTGATGCTGCTGCTGCTAGACTAGGTAGCTCTCCTCCCGGCTCGGGATCTCTCCACGGCAATTCGGCGAATTCGCGCGATCGGGGTTTGTGCTGGAATTCTCGCAGGATTTAGGTCTCTTTTGCGAAGAATGAGAAGGATCTGGGGGGATCAGTGATGGAGGAGCGCGTTTATCAGAGCTGGCAAGGCAGCAATGTAGTAATTTCGCGTTCTTTCCCTTCTCTTCGATCGATCTGAGGTACTGATGGGCCCTCTTTCTTGGCTTGGCTTGCTGCCAGAAATTCTTGTTCCACGGGCGCCTAATTTTTGGACCAGATGTGAGATCGCTGCTCGTCACGCTGTTTCTCCTCATCGGCCCCGCGGTGATCTTTTGCGTCTTCGTCGCCAGGGACCTGCTCGATAGATTTAGCAACAATGGTGGGATCGCAATCATGGTCGTGATGGTCGTCTACACAGCCTATGTGAGTTCTTTGTTTTTTTTTCTTCTCCCTATGGATGGCTTCTTTTGGCCTTCTTGGATGAACTTACGTTTGGTGGTTCCGCTGTAGATTTTGGTGTTGCTTCTCCTGACCTCTGGAAGGGATCCGGGGATTATCCCCAGGAACGCTCACCCTCCAGAGCCAGAGGAAGACGCGGAGGATTGGACGCCCCGTCGACCCGCTAGGACGAAAGATGTCATAGTTAACGGGGTTGCGGTGAAAATAAAGTATTGTGATACGTGCATGCTCTATCGGCCTCCCCGGTGTTCTCACTGTTCCATCTGCAACAATTGCGTGGAGCGCTTTGATCACCACTGCCCCTGGGTTGGCCAGTGCATTGGACAAGTAAGCTTCTTCTCTTCTTTCGTTCTTTGCTAACTTGTTCCTCTTTTCTTTTTTCTTCGCAGAGGAACTACAGATTCTTCTTCATGTTCGTCTCGTCGGCCACGCTGATGTGTGTGTATGTTTTTGCGATGTGTGCGCTGGAGATCAAGTTTGTCATGGACGACCACCAGAGCTCGGCGTGGAAAGCCATGAGAAAGTCGCCCGCGTCCATTGCTCTCATGGCTTACACGTTCGTCGCCCTGTGGTTTGTGGGGGGCCTCACGCTCTTCCACCTTTACCTCATCGGTACAAACCAGGTATGAAAGAGAGAAGAAAAAGATCTTAAAAGTTTTTCTTCGTACAGTACTTTGATCTCGGGTTGTGCGCTGTGACTCGTGCAGACGACTTACGAGAACTTCCGCTACCGCTACGACAATAAAGTCAATCCTTACAATCTAGGCGTGGTAGACAACTTCCGCGAGATCTTCTTTTCCAAGATTGCTCCCTCCAAGAACCACTTTCGGGGTAAAGTAACGAAGGAAAGCTCAGGACAGGGACAAGGAGTGAGACAGCAAATGGCGGTTACTCCCACGGCGACGTCTTTAAAGTCTGCTGGCTCGGATTTGGAAGGAGGGGTGAAGCCGGCATGGCCAGAGCGAGTAGCTCTTCCAACCAGCAACAGCGGCGGCGAAGTTTCGTCCGATGATCCGGGAAGAGTGAGCAATGGTGGTGACATCGGTCTGGATATCAAGAACGGGACATTCTCGCGAGCTCCTCCTGCTCCTGCTCCAGCAGTGGCCGGTAGCAGCGCACTACACCCGAGAAGATCTAGCTGGGGACGGAAGAGTGGAAGCTGGGAGATCACTCCGGATATTATGGCTCTGGCTGCCGGCGTTGGCGGTAGAGACGAAGAAGGGCGAGCGAATGGAGCTGCGAGTAATCCTCAAACGACGACGAACAGATGAGACGATGGAGGAGTGAGAAGGGAGGAGGCGAGTCCCTCTCTTGTGTAAGTTATTTTCCGGTTTGCTGTTATTAACTGTCACGATTGATTTGCTATTTTTTCATAGCTTTTAGATGTGGCAGCGCGATTGTCGAGCTAAGTTTTCGTCCAAAAACTGACTCTTGATCGATCGATGATGCTTTTTATATAGCTATATTCTTTCTCTCGAGTTCTCGAAGCCTCGGGTTTTATAAAACTCTCTCGTCGTCGCGACCATCACCAGCGTGGTCAGGCACCCAAAGACGCAAACTCCAGCGAGAATGAGAAAGGTGGCCATGAAGCAGTGAGAACCATAGCAGCTGGAAGATCCTTGCTCTCGGGCCTCCTTATCGTAGAAAGAACCCGCAACTTGGACCGAGAAGACGTAAGATCCCAGCGGGCTGGCCACCGTGAGCGTGTTGAAGAGCGCTCCAAATCGTCCCAGCCCGAAGATCTCCGAGACGGTGGCGGGCATGAGCGACCAGTGCGCGCCATAGCCGAGAAGAATCGCCAGAGTTCCAACGTAGAGAGCTCCCGGAAGAGCCATGGCGACGACGAGATGGCCCAGAGACTGTGCTCCCAGAGCGATGGCGATGAAAGCCGGCCGTGGGAAGCCCTGCGAGTGGAGGAACTTGTCCGAGATCACTCCAGCTAGAAACCGGCCCAGGAAGTTCCAGACGCTCATGAGCGAGACAACGATCGAGATGTCGCGCTTGGAGTGGCCGAGCGAGAGGCCGAGCTGGTTGACGTTGTCGATGGTGGTGAGCCCGGTTCCCATGCCACAGAACGCCGAGACGAAGAGCAGCCAAAACTCCAGCGATGATAGCGCCTGGGCGAGCGTGAATTCCTGGCCGAGTTGCAAGCCAGGCTTGCGGGATGATCTTGGCGGATCCTCGGGTTCCAAGAGCCTGGCTTGCTCTTGGGTGGATTGGTCTTCCTCGGCCGTGAGCTCGGCTCGCAATGCAACGAGGAGGGGCGATGCGAGAAGGAGGAGAATGAGGAGAGCTGAGAAGTCCATCGCTAGCGCTTGGTTTGGAGAAGCTATCGAGATTGGGACGAGGAGAAACGCGATAGCCACGATGATCCCGGAGATCTTGTGTAAGTTGGTCGTTTCGAATCGATCGATTGCTACTGGAAGTGGCCGGATGAGAAACATGAGCAAGAGAGAGGCCAGAGATGGGACTAGAGCCGCGAAGAGAGTGTACGAGACTTGATCTCTTGTACGGAGTGTTCTAAACATCAGTGTAAGAACCGCGCCACTCAATCCCAGGCCACCCTGGAGGAAACAAAGATCTCGTCAAGTTTCCAAAAGTTCTTGGAAGAAACGATCTTTACCTTCATGAGGCCGACCACTGTGCCTCGGCTGCTCGGGAAATTCGCCACCGAGGTGACCACCACCGCGGTGTTGAGAAAGGTTTGCGCATTGGCGGCGAGGAGCATGAACACGCAGACTTGCCAGAAATCCACGCGCTCGAGCCTTCCAGCGGCGGCGAGCCAGATGGAGAGATAGCCGGCGAGGTTGAGGAGCGATCCAATTGCCAGGATCGCCCAGGGCGGGACAAGCAGGTAGAGCAATCCGGCATGGATGCCAACGTTGGCGCCGATTCCCTTGAAGAAGGCGATGGTGTCGAGCTGGGTTTGCGTGTAGCCGAGCGCGCGCTTGAGGGATTCGGAGTAGAGGCCGAAGACGTAGGGGGAACCAGCGGTGAATTGGATCCACAGCCCAGCTACCAGCATCACCCATCTCTTCCCCAGCATTCTCTTCTTCCTCTCTTCTTGGAACCCTAAATATGTCATCATTTTGATAAAATTACTATGAAGTTAAATAGATGTCTGTAATAAGTGATTGAATGTGAGTTTTTTATTAAAAAATAAATTAGGATTATCAAGTTAAATATATGTCTTAGTGATTGAATGTGGCTGTAGTTTAGTGGTGAGAATTCCACGTTGTGGCCGTGGAGACCTGGGCTCGAATCCCAGCAGCCACAAAGTGCAATTGTGGAAGTTTTCTAAAAAACTTTACCGGTTTTTTCTGTAAGATTCCCAAACTGTTCTCCTTCTGGGCATTTGCGGTGGGATCTCAAAAACCTGTTCTTGTGAAAAATCCTCCTTCTGGGCATTTGCTGATGATAGAATTCTTGTTCTTGTGCAAGATGGCATTTGTAGGAATCTCAAAAACTTGAGCTGTTTAGCCAAGGAACCGAGCTATCTAGGTGACGATTTCGGACAGCAGCATATGAGCGGCAGCATTCTCGGGGTCGAACTCCAAAACTTTGAGCGCTGCGTCCCTTCCCAGCTCTAGATTCCCATGAACCTTGCAAGAGCCAAGCAGGGACATCCAGGCAATCAGGTTGGGCTTAAACGGCATTCTCGCAAGCAGCATCTTGGCTTCACTCAAGTGCCCAGCTCGTCCCAGCAGATCAATCATGCAGCCGCAGTGCTCCTCAATCGGCTGGAAGCCATAGTCGCCGATCATGCTGCTGAAATACTTGCAGCCCTCGGCCACGAGCCCGACGTGACTGCATGCATGCAAGACGCTCATGAACGTGATTCGGTTGGCGGAGTAGCCCCGGTGCTGCATCTCGGTGAAGGCCTCGAGCGTTTCCACGCCATATCCGTGCTGGGCATATCCGGCAAGCAGCGAGTTCCATGTTACCTCGTCGAGCTTGGCCATCTTGTCCAGCACCGCGCGAGCTTCGAGCAGGCATCCACACTTCCCGTAGAAGTCCACGACGCCATTCGCCACCGCAACGTCGGACATGAGCCCGTTCTCGGCCGCGAATCTATGCACGGCTCGTCCTTTGGCGATGGCGCTTCCGGCAGCGCAGGCGCTGAGAACTGTGACTAGCGTGACAGTGTCCGGGACGGCGCCATCGACTTGCATTTGCTGCAAGAGCTTGAAGCTTTCTTTCCAGCGGCCGTTGAGAGAACACGCTGCGATGATCGAGTTCCAGGACGCGAGGTTCTTGTCAGGGGTGTCGTCGAAGGTTCTCCGCGCGAGGTCGCAGTTACCGTGGTAGCCATACGCTGCGACCATGGCGTTCCAGGAGGGGGTGTCTCGGTGGTGCATGCTCTCGAACACCTCCACCGCGGCGTCGAGAGTTTCGCACTTGGCGTGCATGAGAACGAGCGCGGTCTGGAACTTGACTTCGTGGTGGTAGCCGCGCTGGGTGGCGAGCTCGCGGACAATCCTCCCGGTTCTAAGAGCTGCTGGATTCGTGCATGCGTAGAGAACTGTGAGCAAGGTTGCTCGATCGGCTGGAACTCCTGCGAGCTGCATTCGATGGAAGAGAACCATGGATCGCTGGTGCTCGCCGTTCTGCGCGTGCACGGCGATCACGGTGTTCCAGGAGATCACGTTTTGGAGCCTCGGCGAGGCCTCGAACAGCCGGAGCGCGTCCTCGGCGCAGCCACACTTGCCATACATGTTCATCAGCGCGTTCCGGACGATGCTGTCCGACTCGAAGCCTTTGTCGGCGATGGCGGCGTGGATGGATCGTCCCAGCGCGAGCGAGGACGAGCCAGTGAGCGCGCTCAGGACGGACACAAAGGCCGGCTTGTCCGGAAAGAAACTCTGGCGCTGCATTTGCTCCAGGAGATCCAGCGCACGGTCGCGGCAGCCGTGCTGCGCGTAGGCCGCGATCAGTGCGTTCCACACGACGTTGTCCCGCTTCTCTACTCCATCGAAGATCTCTTGAGCTCTTCCGAGCGTTCTGGCAGACTTTCCATACATGTTGACGAGTGCAGTGGCCACCACAACGTCGGTTTCCAGCCCGCTCTCGATCACGCACCTGTGGAGAGCCTCGGCTTCTTCTTCCGGAGCCAAAGACTTCGCACAAGCTTCCATAGCCGCAAGGAACGTCACCTTGTTTGGCTTCTCCCCTTCCAGCTCCATTCTCCTGTACAGCCTGATCGCATCGTCACAGCTACCACTCTGGGCATAGGCCGCGATCATCGACGTCCACGAGATAACGTCTCGCCGAGGCATCGCATCGAACACCAGCTTGGCATTCTCGACACTGCCACAGCGGTGATACATACAAACGACCCCGTTCTGGATCGAGAGCCCCTGCTGGTTGCCACTCTGCCGGATGTGATCGTGGACGAGGCTGGCCTCTCGCAAGCTTCCCAGCTTCGTGCAAGCGCTCAAGAGCGAGAGGAAAGTGATCCTGCTCGGCGAGACTCCGTCCATGAGCATCTCCCGGTAGAGGTCGAGAGCTTGACGGGAGTGGCCAAACTGGGCGTATCCGGTGATCAGCGCGGTCCAGGAGATCAAGTCTCGCTCCTCCATCCCGCGGAAGATCGCTCCAGCGCTCTCCAGGTCGCCGCATTTGCCATAGGCGTTGAGCAGCGCAGTCGCGACGATCTTCTCGTGCTCGCAGTGGATCTCTCGAGCGCACTCGTGAACGGATCTCACCTGGTGGTCGGCGAGGCAGGAGTTGAGAGTGGCAACCAGCGCGATCTGGTTGGGAAGAACACCGTGGACGTGGAGTTTCTGGAAAAGCGCAAATGCCTGCGTGTAGTTCCCACTCTGGGCATTTGCGGTGATCATCCTGGACCAGGACTTGAGATCTCTCTCCGGCATGGAATCGAAGATCTGGGTGGCGTCATCCAGGTTGCCACAGCGGATGTACATCTCGAGCAGGAGCTCCGCGAGGATACGATTGTGATGGAGGAGGCCGTGCCGTGCGAGGAAGCCATGGATGGATTTTCCTTGCTCGTGGGCTTTGGCGTTCTTGCAGGCGATGATCAATCGCGCGCACTCTGCTGGATCAGGAGCTTGCTGCTGCTCTTGGGCGATCAGGGCAAGAATTGATTGCTCCAGAGATGTGTTGCTCGCTTGCAAATTCACGCTGCGAATGAGCCTTCCACTAGAAAGCAAGACGCCCTTCCGGTTGAATGGAAACATCCATTCTCTAGAGTTCCTGGGAGGATCTATGTGGGCGAGATCGATACCTTTCTAAGCTGGACAACGAATTCAAGCTCTTGGTCTGGATCGACTCTTCCTTGAGCTCCAAAATCTTCCCCTCGCTCGCCAAACCCTAGCGCAGGAGGCACGATCACCCTCCTCTCGCCACCGGCGTTCATCGATGCCAGCGCAAACTCCAATCCATCGCACATCCCACCAGAGTATGGCTTCGCGCCATACACGAACACCAGTGGCCTCTTGTTCCCGATCGTGTCAACGAATTTCTCTCCAGTGCTTGTCACTCTCCCCACAAGATCCACGACCACCAAATCCCCGCGCCTGGGAGAAGCCCCTCCTCCGATTACCAGGTCTGTGAATCTCACTCCATTCGGAAGCACGGTCTCTTTTCCATCTTGGATTTCCCTGCAAGAATCTCGCAAGATCTAAGCGAAAGGACGAATCTAAGCGAGGATTTCTGACCTGGAGCCTTGCTCCTCGAGGGCAACCTCCGTTCTCGTTTTGATCTGCTCGGAGATTACACCGAATGCGAGGAAGCCCACGTATCCCAGGCCTGCCCCCAGTCCAAATCTTCTTGTCAGCAACGAAGCGATCCAGTCTGTGGAGGAATCGAGCTGGATTTTGGTGCCTGGATCTTGCTTCTTTGGGGATTGCTGCTGCTGTTGCTCTTCCAGTTCACAGAGAATGCGCCTCCTGCGCGTGAGAATTCGCGATCTTGGAGTGGGAATGCGGCAGTGGAACAGAGTTGCCATGGCATGCTCTGTTTTTAGGGGAAATCCGGAGAAGATAAGATGATCCACGACCGCGATGGTGGAGAGAGCTCTTTCGTCTGGTGGGCTTTATCGCAAGCCCAGCGAATTCCTTGCACCGGATGGATCGCCCACGCAGTGGAATGGGAGCATTTTGGAATTTCCCGGGAAGGAATCGGAGAGCTCACTTTGCCAAGGCGGGCAATTGGGTAAAACGATGGAGAGCTCTCGAAAGGTCTCAAAACCCAGCGTGGTTTCGTGGAACAAAACCTTAATGGATTGCGCAAGGAATGGGAATTTGGATCAAGCAGAGAGTGTTTTTGAAAAAATCCCAAATCCAAACGTTGCATCGTTTAACATCATGATCACAGCATATGCCCAAGCTGGGCATGTCTATAAAGCGAAGAGGGTTTTTGACAGAATATCAAAACCCACCGAAGTTTCATGGAATGCAATGGTTGCGGCTTATGCTCAGGAAGGATTTCTGATGGAAGGAAGCGATATTCTGAAAAGGATGCCGAAGCTAAACTCTGTAGCTGGAATCGCGATGATGCTTGCATATGCCCGATCTGGGCATATTGACGAATCTGAAAGAATCTTTCGAGCTTTGCCAGATTCAAACGTTTTCTCGTGGAATGCGATGCTCTCGTCATACACAATCAATGGATACGTAGAAAAAGCTAGAGATTTGTTTGACAGGATGAGTGGGAGAACTGTGGTGACTTGGAATACGATGGTTTCGGCCTATGGTCAAGCTGGAAAAGTGTTAGAAGCAAAAGAGATATTTGAAGAGATGGCGGAGAGAGACCTCGTGACTTGGAACGCAGCTCTTCAAGCCTATGCCCGAAATGGGCATATCGACGAGGCAGAGAGATTGTTTGAAGAAATGCCAGTGAGAGACGTGACTTCATACACGAGCCTGATGACAGGATCACACCACAGCCTTGATCGAGCAAAGACTTTGTTTGATATGATGCCCGAGCACAACGTAGTCTCATCCACCGCAATGCTGGATCTCTATGCCCGACATGGCTATCTGGAAGAAGCAGTGGACGTGTTTGTCAAAACAAGAGAGCATAACATTCTGTCATGGAATGCTCTAATGCTAGCATACTTTAGAAACGATCTCTTTGAGGAAGCTAAGTTAGTCTTTTTTGGCATGCCTCAAAAGGACGTGGTTGCATGGAGCTCTATGCTCTCGTCATATGCCCAAAACGGGCATCTGCGCGAGGTAGGAAGCTTGTTCTACACAATGCCGGAGGAGAGAGACCAGATTGCCTGGAGCTCTATAATAGCTGCTTTTGCACAGTTTGGCCATATCCAAGATTCTATCAAGCTCTTCAAGCTCATGGTTTTGGAAGGAGTGGAGCCCGAGAAGGGCTGTGTTAGAACAGTTCTCTCGGCGTGTAGCCACATCGGACTCCTCCAGGAAGGCTGGAACTTGTTTGTGTCGATGCGAGATGACTTTGGAATAGAGCCGTCGAGAGAGCAGCTTTGTTGTGTGATTGACATACTTGGCCGGGCAGGGAAGATCAACCAAGCACAGCAAATGGTGGAGAGTTTCTCGTTCGTTCCAAATGCCGCGGAGCTGGGAACTCTCCTTGGTGCGTCGAGGCTCCACTTTGATACAAGTTGTGGAAGGCAAGCAGCCACGCAGCTCTTGCAAGGGGTCGATCCAAGTAACTCAGCAGCGTTCGTGGGATTGGCCGATCTAATCTTTGCGTCTTGACTAAAACTTGTTTCGTGCCTTGAAAGCTGCAAAGTTGGCAAAAGAACACCGTGGAAAAGCTTGCCTTTCTCGGCAAACTATGATCAAACAAGTGCGTTGTTCTCGCCTTTTGTTGGATTTGTAATCAGCCACAAGGTCCCATGACCCTGCATTATTGCTAGAGCTACGTCCTCGAATGTGAGATACAAAAGTAGATTCAAAACTATAGAAAAAAAAAGGCTCTTCTTTCTTTTCTACCAAAGAAGAAGCTTTTGAGTATATATATATACACAAAGACGCTTCTTTTCTTAAAGGAGAGTATGCATATACACCTGGATCTAGAGTAGTAGTAGTGTGAGAGATGTGAGTACTAGCAAACGCTTCTCGATGTGATGAAACGAGGAAAACGAAGAAGAGGATTGTTGAGCTGTTCCAGCATTGATCGGCGTGACTTGGTTCGAAATAATGTTCTGCGGTTCTATGATGGGCGATGAATCAGGTGTCGAGGCAGGCATGTACTGCCTGTATGTTGGAGGTGGTGATGAAACTGCCAGAGAAAAAAAACGATTATCAACGATCTCGAAACCATGAAACTTACCAGGACATGTTGATTGATTCGTGTTTTCCAAGCTGAGAAAGAAAGAGCAAATGGAAGAGTTACAAGGTTTATAGATCTATGTTTAAAGAGGAACGCTTTATATACCCAGTGAAGATGACCGAGTCGTGGAAACCATTGTACGAGCAAGACGTAACTTGACAGCCTTGGAGCGAAGCTTTGGTGGTGAATTCACCAATTTTGAGATTGCTCCCGGCGCAGCGAGGAGCTGGACATGGAAATCCGGAGCTGGATGGAGCAGGAGTGCAATCTAGCCTGGAAAAACATAGATGATCTTTCCATGATCCAAGATCTCATCATGGGTTTACCTTGGATAGTTGCAAGAACACTGGACGCATCGATCGGCAGTGATGGTATAAGTCCCGTTTGGAACCATCAATCCATAGTCCACAGCTCTCGAATCAAAGGATGACTCACAGGCTGGATTTTCCATTTTTTTTTGGAAGATGAGAGATCATTGAATTCTCAAAAAACTTGCCTGGGATTGGAACTTCGAGCACGTCTCCAGCCGCGAGGGATGATCCCTTTTGCATCCCATTGAGCTCCACGACGCTGGAAACGCTGGAATCAAACAAGCTCGCGATCTCAAACGTGGATTCCCCTCTCTGGACCATGTAAGACACGAACATCGCAGGGATCCCCTTGAAATTCCCCGCGTTGCAAGCGCAGGGGAAGGGGATCAGCAATCTCTTCCCAATTGCAACCTCCGTGCTGGAATTCAGCCCCCTCTCGCTCAAATCCCCGCCTGGATCGTTGCTGTTGGCCTGGAAGATTTGCAAGGGAGTGACCATCCCTCCGAAGACTTCATTGGAGATCGAGAAGAGCGTCTCGCCTTCCTGGCGGACAGAGTAGACGATGGAATCGGTGCGCCGGATGCCATTGGAGCAAGCGCACGAGACTGGGATCCGGAGGAGCTCCTGGGCCTGGATGATCACGTCGTCGGGCTCTGGAATCGCGACCTCGTAGTTGTTTGATCCCAGGATTTCATCGGTGGTGACTCCAAACATGGCCACCACGTTTGAGATCCTCGTGTCGGCAACAATTCGATAGCCCAGCAGCGATTTACACTTGTCCTCGCCCGAGCACGATTCGATGTAGAACTTGGAGACCGCTGTGCTCCAGAAGACTGACGCAAGAATCGCCATCACTGCAAAGGCATTCTCCATTCTCGAAATTCCTCTGTTTTCTCCCTTTTTGCTTGTTTCTTTTTTGGCGAGTGGCTTGGAAGGCACAAGTGTTTCACTGTTTGGGGGGTAGAAATATTTATCGGTTGATTAAAATCACGCAAGATTTGGTGGTGCTTTCACCATAGGTCTATTACTATATGCTAAACTTTTTTATTTCCTTCTCTCTTTCTCTCACATTTCTTTTTGTTCTTGGTTCCATTAGAGATCCTAGCTAGGCAAAGCGGTCCCTTCAAGAACAAAAGCAAGAAACAAAGCTAGAGAGAAATCGTTCGTCCTTGCATCGACTTTTCCTTGCAGCTTTACAACACACGCACAAAAGGAATAGGAACAATGAAAGGTGGTGGAATTGAGGCACCGGAAAGGTGGTCGTTCTAAACTTGTAAACAAGATCTAAAACGTCAAAAGAATAGAATGAATACGAGTTTATACAGACGTGGATTCTCTTGGCTCTTCTTGTGCTGCATGGTTTAGAGGTGTCTAGGAAAAATTCCCTTCTCCACTTTGGTAGTGGGAGACGCTCTTAAAAATGTGTGTCAAGGTTTGCGGGATGTCGTTTTCGTGAAATGCGAGAGACTCCAACCATGCCGCATATTGCATTTGTTCTTTTCCTCTTTTTCCATGCGTAAATTCTACTCCAGGCATCATCCAGAAAGTTGGAATATCTAAATCTTGCCAGCGTGATCTTTATTTTCTGCTCAAGAAGAACCCCTGCCGGCAGTAAAACTGGGTAATTGTCTAAAACGCAGTTAACTTGTGATAACATATCGATTAGTATTCAAAGCAGCTGAAAGAGAACTGAGCCAGTTGATGCCACTAGAATTGTCCATTGTGTAGCTATTGGGGAAGGCAATGCTCTCATCAAGGAGTTTCTTATTCAAATGACTTTGTTGCTGTTTCAAAATCATCAATTTGATTTAATTTTGAAAGTTTATATGTCAAAAAATTTAATAATTAGACTAATATCTTATTAAAGTTTTGATACTCCGGTATCTCATTAAATTTTTGTATACAACTACAAAAAACTTTCACACATGTGTAAATATATAATGCAAGCATGTGCAATCACATAATAATTATTATAATAAAATATAAATTTGTTATAATATTAAGTTATAAAAACATTATGTCCAAGCTGCTCTCATTAAATTGAATACTCATCCTCCCTAAGTAAGATGATGTTCTTATATAATTTTTAAAAATTATTTTAATTTCATTAAGTACAAGTAAATGAAATAAAGTTCTAAATTTATAAACAATTAGTGATTTAAAATATATTTTTAAAAGAAAAAGCTATTTTCTATTGCTAAATTTATTGAAAATGATATATATGATCTTTATTTAAATTTGAGTTTTACTAAAAAAAATACATGAGTGATAGAATAACTAGAAGGGTATATCATAATATAATATAAAGATATTATATAATAAATTTAAATAGTTTAGATTTTAATTTGTATAACCAATCCCAAATACATAATACTTGAATGTTTATATATTAAATATTTTTGGTAAGTTTTCATATCATCTATTAAATGATCTAAAAATAAAATTTAATAATTAATGATTGGAATATATATACTTAGTTTATAGTAACTTCAAAATCACTACTTTAACTTGATTTTAATATTACTATTTCACTATAGCTAATATTTTAATATTATCAAGGTAATAAAGAAATGATCATAAAAAATTTGGTATTTCCTTCTTCTTTCTGAACAATCCAAAAAATAATTAACAATGATAATTTCATTAAAAGGATGTAAAAAGAAACAAATTATCATGAATATGTGAAGTAAAATCACAATTTGCCTAGTTATTTAGTCAAATGTGTTAGCTTTTTAGCATTGCAGTTTCTTCATTATCTCATTACGTGAGTTTTAGAAAATTACTGGGGGATGGAATGCTTGATTCAACACTCTTTGACAGGTTTGAGGATAATCTTTAGTTTTTTTTTTATAAATTATAGATTTAAATAACAATTTTTAAACACAAAAGATTTTGAAGCACTTGAATGAGATGAATGGATTCATGTGTTTCTCCCCATGTTAAGGATGTTTTATGCAATTGAAGTAAATTATTATAGAAATAAATTATTTTTATTGTGTCTAATAAGTTTTCATTTTATTATTTTAACAATAAAGAAACAAATCTAGTATACATTATTGCACACTAAGTGTTAAACAAAAAAAAAAATTATATACTAAATAATTATAAAATTTCACATACCTAAATTCACTTTGGCAAATCATCTATAAAATTGGAAAGGCATTAATTTCAATTTAAGTTCATTTTAACAAAAAAATAAAAACTAACAAAAGCTGATTAGAATTCATTGTTTCTTATTGTGGTTTTCCAATAAGTAAAGAATGTAAAACTTATAAGTTTTATTTTTAATATTAAGCTTGCTTTTCTATATAAATGTAAACTTTATATAGAATTGTGGTGGTCTTTTATATATATATATATAGATTTGCAAGAATTAATGGCAATTTAATAATAATAAAAAATTGGCAATGTCATGTGGAAAACCAATATCAATTAGTAAATAGAACACTTCTAAGTGCAGTTGATATAAAGTAGATTATGACTGTAAATAGTTTATTAACCATGCTCTGAGCAACGTTTATATAAATCTTTAAGGATAAGTCGCAAAAAAGAGGATCCATGGATTGGGGCGTGGCAATTGCTCCTCTGTCCAGCTGCATTCCCAGATCGATACGGTATAGCAGGAGCTCTCTACATTGCGGGCGGCTGGGCGCTGCCAAAGACACTGTTAGACAGTTTTACAGCGCGATCAATCACAGGCAGCTAGAAATCGCCGGTGATTTGATTGCTAGCGACTGTGTCTACGAAGATCTTGTGTTCTCCAAGCCATTCGTTGGTAGAAAGGTGCTCTGCCTGGAACTTTTCCTTCCAAATGGTCTGATGAATTGTCTTTTCAATGTGAGCAAGCAGGCTATCATCGAATTGTTCGAGACATTTACCAGTTCCGTTGGTCCCGAGGTGAGTTTTGTGATAGACGAGATCAGTGATGGCAACCTGAGCGTTGGAGTAACTTGGCATTTGGGTGACTATACAAACCATTTCATCTTGGGATGCATGTAGGAAAGTATGAACGTTTTGCTGTTCTAAACAGATTGGAGAGGGAATGTTTTCCCGTTTAGCAAGGGGTGCAGCTTCTATCGCTGTGAAGATGTCTCTGGAGATTACAAGATTGTGTAAGTGATATCACCGTGTTGACACAGCAGTGTGTGAATTTCGGAAGAACCTTGCAGCTATGGGAGGGATATTGTGGAGCCAGCGTTTAAAATCAACAGTGTCGCTCTGGTAAAGAATGATATCTCAGAAGTATGGTATACCAATCAGCGTGATCTCGCAGAAAGCAATAGGGGCTGTTACGTGGTTGTTTGAAAGGTTTCCTGGGCTGGCACGAAGAACTTCATAAAAAAACCAATCAAGCAAACGCGAATGCCAAGCTCGAAGATCAATTTTATTTCTTAGTCGCGACGGATTGTCAGCTGGACACGAGCAATAACATTGGCTCCGCTGGTATGAACAACTTGAGACGTATAAACTCCCTCCATACGGTAAAACTCTCCAGTTCCACCCACAATTGGAACTCTTGTCACGGGTTGACGAAGCTCAAAACTTCCAGCGCAGCTCAAAGCACCATTCCTCCCGGCCAAGCTCACCGTGAAAGTTTCGTGAGCTTGGGATCCATCCAGCGAAGAAACCACGGCGGCTCCACGGACCCTCCCAACTTCCTGGGAGAAGTAGTCACTCCCTTGCGTCAACTTGTGATCAAACACGACCGCGTAGCCAAATCGTCCCGGAGTGCCGCCACCGATGGGAGTCTCGCTGAGAGTGGAGGTTGATCCATTTGCGCGGATGATGTGCTGGTAGAACTCGATCGTTCGATCCCTGTTGAAGTTATCTGGCAAGTGAACGAGAGATTCCTCGCGAGCAGTGATTTCCACTGCGAGGAGTGATCCCACGAAGAAGAAGGAAAGAAAGAAGACAATGTGGGAGAGTTCCATCGATCCAAGCGCTCTTTCTAGTTCTAGTTCTAGAGGCTATGGGGAAATCTATAAAGGGAGGCCTTTATATACTGGAGGGAATGAGAAACGCGCCCAGGTTTGATGTTTAAAACGCTTGGCCAGGGATAGGGTTTTCGGCAACCATGGCTTTGGTGGAGCGGCTCCGGGAGGCCGGCGATCGGTGCTGTCAGGTAAGAACGAGTCGCTGTCGGCGATGGCGATGGAGTAGCGCTGAAATCACTGGATTTTTTGCTTTTTCTTTTCCTCGATTGTCGCAGTGCGAAGGCGATGCGATCGGGGATTTCAAGCGTGTTCTTGAGTCCGCGGTTTTGGATGGTGCGCAGGAGTCCACTGGTGAGTGGGAAGGCGTGTGTCAGCGGCTGTTGCTTGATGTCAAGGCGATGCTCGATCCTAGCACGGAGAAGGGTCGAGTAAGTGATTGATCGTTTCTATCATTTTGGACTCGTCACTTTTCTCGTTTGCGTTAGATGCTTCTCGAGGCTGTGGGATGGGATTTGCCTGGTGCGATCGTGAATTATGCTAGAGTTTCAGAGGCTTGTCGAGAGGTTTCTCTGGATCTCATTGTGCTCTTGGCGGAGTCGTGCTCTCCCCGAGAAATTCTCGCTACTCTCCTGGAGGTAATCTACCTTTTTGTTGTGAATCCAGCATCTTCATACGTAACCTTGTAGGCTCTTCATATCTCCATCAAGCTTGAGGCTTTAGACCTTTGCCTTCTCCTGTTGGAGGGATTATCGTCTGGTACGCTGCGACTTATTTCTTAGAGATTTCGCTAAATGTTTTCTTTTAGTTCTTCCACGGATTCAGAGGCGCCGAGCAGAGTTTGCCAAGGAAACTGTCGATGTTCTTTTACCTGTTGCTGTTGTCTCTCAGTATCTTGACGACGATGAAGTTCTGCGGCTCCAGATTCTTCACAAGCTTCTGCAGCTATGCCAAGTTTTGCAAGAAATGTTTGCTGTCGAAAAGGTGGTGTACACTTATTCTCTTTAACGTCTTAACGTGTTTCTTTTCATGCATAGGCAGACAATCAGAAGGAAATGCTTCGCGGAATTCTTTCTTACTTCGCGCTTGTTCTTATGGTACTTTTGTCCAAGGCTCCTTTTCGCTCTTTCTAACTTTTCATCTCATTCAGACGGCCGTAGTGTCAGCTGACACTTCAGACACTTCAAACTCAGTCTCGCAGCTTCTTGAAATCTTGAAGTCCTGCGGCCTTACGGTGTCTAAGTTGCTGGATAGAAGCGTGATTTCATCATACACGGCTGTGCAACACAAGGAAGGTAATAAAAGGAAAAACAATTATGTCTATAATAGTAACTTGAATCTTTCCTTGACGCAGACGCTCATCTTTTATACGATTCAGAAGCAGATTGTGGGGCGGCACTGGCAGGTCTGTATCTATTTTTTAGCTTATTCTTTGTGCGTGCTTGCGTATGTTTTAACTAACAAGTAGAGGTGCAGCGTCACTTTTATTAAAGGACAAAACTGAGCCGCTCTGTACCCCACTGGAAGCTTTGGATGTATCAACATGGCTGTTCGGTTTTGTGCTCGAGAGAAATGGTTCATGGAAACTTGCAGAGAAAGGCCTGAAACTTATACAGTCGGTACTGGCTGTCAAGGGGGACGCATGCTTCACGGAGGACGATCATGTGACAACAGCCACGAAGATATGCTCTCTTTTGAAGGTTCACTTGTTTAATCCAAGTTGATGATTCTATGATTGTTGTTTCAGATTCTTCACGACGTGGTGATTCGTTCTCCTTACCCATCGTTGAGAAACTCAGCCTATGACGTTTTGCTGAAGGTGAGTTGTTTGCAAGCCTCTCTTTTTGTATTTTTATGCTTAAAATGGTCAATGTGCAGGTTTTGAGGAGGACAAGTGCTGATGCTAGGTTCCTGTGCTTGGTTTCTCTTGTCGGCGATGGATGTCATTCCGCAGTGGTAAAACAACTGTTTTGTTCTTTTGATTTTCTGATTGCCTCCCGCGTCGCTCTTCCAGGTTTCGCTGCTGCTGACTTTTGCGAAGGATGAGGTAGACAGTGCGTGGCGATCTGAAGGTCGTGAGCTCAATCCATTCGTAAGCGAGAGAGTTCTAGAACTCGTGGAAATAGTTCTCCGTCCCAAGGAGGGTGCCCCGCCAAACTTGCCGCAGAACTTGGATGCGGTAAGCTGGCCCGTGAATCCAGATTGTTGACTAATGTACAATAATTAATACTGCAGGTTGTTGGTGCCCTGAACTTGTACCGCTTCCTATTGCTGAGAGAGAAATCAGGTAGAGCACTAGACTAGAGCTCTCGGAAGAACCATCATGTCAAAAGTTTTAACTCGTTTCGACCTTGGAACAGGAGGAACAAACTATACGGGGATACTCTCGAGAGCGGAGCTCGTAAAGGCTAAGTCTCAGTGGCTGGAGCCATTGCGTGCAGCCATCTCTGCAATCCCTCCGGATGATCCAGAGATCGCCCTTCACGTCGACGCATTACAGATGACAAGATCCCGGTGCTTGGAACTGGTGGAAGCAGAACTGGGCCAGCCATAAAAAGCTCTCTTTTTCGCTACCGCTACAACGAAGCAAAGAACATCACACACACGCGATAACTTGAGGCGTACTCTTGGCAACGTGCAACGTGCTTGCTCATCTGCGAGGTACGTGAACGTCCCTCTTTTTTTTAAGCTTTTTCCTTTGTGAGTGAGGCGAGGTGAGTGTAGCATATAGTAGTATCTTTTGCGAGGGTGTCCCTAGTTTCTAGAGAGGCTACAAACATGGCAGCAACTTGTGTCCCCTAAATTCTGCGCATTCCAGGGGCTCTCCAGCTTATTAACGCGCTCCAGTCCACTCCAGTGAGCCAGTCCCATTATTAACATATACGTCTATGAGGTACTCCGCTCTAAACTATCAGGCTCCCTTTTAGAACAATCACCCCTCTCAGCTGCCTAATGCCGGCTAGAGGCTGCAGCCGTCCAGACCAGCATCTTTCCAGACGAAATTTTACTCGTTTTTTACTCGTTTTCTAACTCTTTTTCGAGCGGGCGAGCGAGCGATCGCGAGTCTTTCGCTCGCTCTCGCCTCGTCTCATCTCATCTCACTTATTCTTATTGCTTTGCTCAGGCTTTGACGACTCAAGGGTGATTTACGTGAAGATTTCACGTACAGGTTCGTATCTCTAGCCATTTTTCATTGCCATTTTTTTAACCATTTCTCCTGAATTTTCCTCACAGGATTTCAGGCTAGAAACTCTAGGAGGTTCGACTTTCTATGAGCTTTCACGGGACCATGCCAGGGGGGTGAAGTAAACTGATATGTACTTTTACTTTGGCACATTCTCTTACGGCGTGGGTGTCACTGTTGTTGTGCTCTCCTGTGGATCATTAAGGCATTATTATTAGGGTTCTATTCTAGCCCCGTGTACGTCTATGAGATACATACGACTGCTAATTACTATATGTTCACAGAGAATCACAGGTATGGGGTGGTATTTCTAACTTGGCATTGTTTACTCACGGGCTTGAGTTACTCGCAAAGAATATCCATCGTGGAAACAGTTGTAAGTGTCGTGGAAGAAAAGTCTGGTTAGATTATGTTAAAATGGAGTAAGCGTGAGAAATTCTTACCGATTCGTGTATTTGGAAGTCTTTGCATTTATGGAGGTCGTGCTTAGTGTTTGCGGTTTGCTAGACGGGTTCCGTCAACCACCCACGATCATACAAGGCAATACTTTTTAATCTCTACGCGGGCGCTCGTACGGAATCGCGGTTTTCGTGGCTGATAATCACGGGTTTTTAAAATATAAACCTTTGTAGCGAGAGGGAGAAGTGCTCTGCAAGGAAAAGCCAGGGAAGAAAAGGGGGGGAGAGATTTTCAGCAGGGAGACAAAACGAGCCAGCGCAGGAATCAAAAGCGAGCGAGCGATTCGTGTTTTGTCCAGGGATATATAACTTGGAGTCGTCCATCCAGCAAATCTTCTTTCCCTCTCGCGCTTTTGTACATATCCGGCTCGATCGATCGATCTCCTTCGGTCTGACTTTGAAAAGGAAAAGTCGAGAGGGAGGGGAGGGGTGGAAGCTGCGGGCGTGGGCTTGTTTTGTTTATAATCTCTGGGAATGGTGGTCATGGTCTCGCCGAGGAACAGCAGTGGCAGAGGAAACAGCAGCAGCAGCAGTAGCAGTAGCAGCAGTCGCGGCAGGAGTGCGTTTTCTCTTTTGGATGTGATGCTCAGCGCTAGCTGCGTGTGCTGCTCTTGCTTACTTGCATTGCATCCTTTGGTCCACTGCGCACCCACAACAGCGATGGCTGCTTTGGTGAGCTTGTAAGCAATCTCTCTCTTGTCGAGAGAGAGAAAGAGAGAGATAGAGAGCGAGAGAGAGAGAGAGAGAGATAGAGCTCTCCTCTCCTCCTCCTCCTCCTCCTCCTAGGAGCCATTCTCTATACTTTCCTCTTCTTTTCTCTCTTTGCAATTGCGGCTCTCGAGATCTCTAGGCTACCTTCTTTCGACGCAGAGCTCGAGAATTTCCACCCCAATTCTCCAAATCGAGCAGCGCCCACGTCGCCGGAGGGCGAATCGCCCCAGCCGACAGATCTGGATTTGGAAATCTCAGCAGCCAGCCGACAGCCCAGATCAGCCGTGGAGCAGAGCATCGCATCGCATCCCCTCGCCGCAACGCAACAAAAAAGACCATTAACGACAACAGTATGATCCTCGTCCTGCTCCACTGGAGGAGGAGCTTCCTCCTCCTCCTCGTCACTCTATTCGTTCTTCTCCTCTCGAGTCACAGCAGCCACGCGCGAGAAGCTCCAAGATTGTTGCCATCTTCTTCCAATCTCCTCCAGAGCCACCACCACCAAAATCGGATGGATCTCTTGGAAGTGGCGCTGCCGCCGGCACAGAGCCCCGATTCGAATCATCCAGCTGAGGATTGCGATCAGGGCAGCATAGGCGCGGAGTGTAGCCCTCCCTCGGACAGCTCCTTCACGTCCAACAAGAGGCTCGTTCCCACAGGTCCAAATCCTCTCCACAATAGATGAAAAGCGCGATAGAGTCACAGATTTTTTGCTTGATCCTTGGGGAAAGGCTAGGAATGTGGGAATAGAGTGAGGCGAATTGTCCAGATCGAGGCTGGGAGGGGATTGATTCATCCATTTTCGCTTTTTTTGTTTCTTGGTTTGGTGGTTTCTGAGAGGGAGTAGTGGAAGAACAGGGGAATTTTCTGGAGAGATCTTCAAGGCGGCCTGGAATTGAGGATAATGGGGCTCAATCGAATCATTCACTCCATCCCAGTGTCAATCAAATCAGCCAATCAAGGCTGGGATTGATCCAGAGCTTCGCAAATTTGAAAGAAGACATCGGTCAAAGTGAGAAAGGGAGCTGTTTTGGGAAGAGGCAGCCACACACAATCTGAGCGGCAGGAACAGGGCAGGGCAGGGTTTTTGAGCTTCTTGTGCTCTCCAGAGGAGCCAAAAAAGAAAAAAAAAAGAAAGAAAGAAAGAAAGAAATCGAAGGGGAGCCATCTCTGATATCACATTCGTTGATTGATCGCGACGTGAGAACGGCAGCTGCAACAGCAGCACAGGCATTTAATCGAGAGAAAGAGAGAGAGCGAGGGAAAAATTTCCATCCCTTATCTCTGATTCCTCTCATCATGATCGTGATCTCTTCTCTCAGCTCTCTCGGCTCTCCTCTTCTCTGTTCTTCTGGGCTGTGATTTCTCCTCTCCGCCCAGCACGCGATCTTATGATATGAGACTGATATCGTTTCGATTCGCTTCTTCGTGGATGGATCATTCGGCTCACAGTCGCAAGCAAGGCATCAAGCGAAGGAAAACTTCGAATTTGCGACAAGAGCGCAGATGATGTTGATTGATTGCCAGAAGAACTACAACAACGTAGGCTGTACATAGCAAGTCTTTGACACCATACAATACATTCACGTACATTTCTTTTGTCCGTATTTTATTTGTTTGCGGATTGTCGAAAACTTTGGAGAATCTGTGACTTGTTCTTGCCGATTAGCGTGCTGATCAAGCACAGAGTTGATTCTCTTCATGCTTCCATGAACATCTTAATCAAGACCGAGACAAGAAAGAAAGAAAAAAACTAACACCCGACCCGACGTGTCGATCGCCAGTCTCGCGCTCGCCAGCCGGATGAAATTCATTTCCATTTCGTTTCATCTCCTCACAATCAATTCAATTCAATCGATCGATCGAAACGACAATGCAACGCTGCAGCCAGGGGATGTGATCAATCAATCCTTCGCGTTATGGGTGGTTTTTGTCATCAATTTCCGCTTCCCGCGACTTCCCGTGCTCTGTTTAAACTTATTTTTTAGGGCTCTTCAAGTCACGAATATGCCCTACGTAACGTGTGGGGGATATTCCCGGGAGCATTGAATTTAAAGGCTAGGGACTTCTTTTAGAGGTTGTGCATTCAATGCCTGTCTTTTGGCTTGTAAGTTGCTGGAATATAGAGTTTTTTCTGCAAAACTGGTTGCGCCTTGGGTGGTGGTGCTATGCTGCAACCTGCTGAAATGTTGATTGATTGGATTGCTTGATCCTGATTGATTCAACAATGAGCTGCCTGCAACCTCTAGCTCTATGTCAATCTCCTTATTACCTATGTTACGGTTTCTTCATAAGAAACTTAGTCCCCGTACGGCGACTACACATACGGCATATTAGACAAAAAAGTTCATCCATGTTGCTCGCAAAGTCCTCGGTGATTGTGAGATCCTCACAGTTGATCAAGCCTTTGGGTCAGGTCCACGCGCTTGCACCGAATCAATGGAGTGTTCGTCAAGACGGAACCAGTCAAGTTTTGATTTCAACATTTGCGGTATTTGAATTGGAACGCAAAAGTACTTCTCTATGGTCTTTTGTCCATGCACGCAGGACGCAACATCTGCCTCAATATGTATGCTTTTTTATATGGTTTTTATGCGTCTCTTGCAACTCCATAGCCTGGCTATAGTCTGATGGAGAGAGAAGAGCAATTTTAAAGCAAAAGATCTACGGATCATTTGAAGATCCATCTTTAATCTTGATATCAGGATTCAACGACAATCAGGCTGTCTGTTCGAATGCTTTATGTCCTAGTCTTGCTTTCAGCACCTACATGGCGTATGGCGGTAGCCTCAACGTATACATGCAGGCAGCGATTTCGATACATAGAGTGAAGTCAACTCGTTATACACGAAACAATCATTCAGAGTGATTGATCTACTATTTGATCAAATAATATTAATCTACTCTTTTGGGTTGTAGACCGACAAAGGCACTGTATGAAAGACACGGTTTCGTTGACAAAAAGGTTGTATCGTATAGATATAGAGGTGTGACGAATGATGGTCACCATTGAGGGAAAACTCTTGGGAAAATGGCTAAGTCAAGTTTGCATTTGTCTTGAAAGTCAAGTAAGAACTAAGATCAGCTACATTTTCATCACTGGATGTGATAGTGGGTTCAAGGGCTTGATGATCTTTTGCTACTGGATTTTGAAGTCATCTATTATTAGTGAAGCAATTTTGACTGCCCTTGCATTTAGCACTAGTGTTTGTTTATATCTATTGAAGTCATATACAAATAGAATAATTATTGAGCACCGTAGCTTGATTGATTTACTGATTTATTACTAGTCTTATATACACTAAAAAAACAGTTTTACAATAATAATATTAACAATTTTGTAAGATGCTCCTATACATCAAAAGGAAGTTTAAGGGACTAATATTTGTAGTCTAGTTCAAGAACTTATTGTATTAATTGCAAAGCCAAGGCATCATAAAGCATTCAATATCTCTATTTCACAAAACCTGAATTATTGCTCATGGCTTGGCCAGCTTGTCTGATTAAATCAAGCTAGTTCATAAGCTCTCCAAAGTTGCTGCCTAAAAAGCCTTTAACACAAGAAAGGGCCAGAAAACTTACGACAGGCTTGCTGAACTAATGAAGAATAAAAAGATGCAAAGTTGCAGTGCAAGATTAGTAAAAATAATGAGTAGTATATCTGGTTAAACTTTACACTATTAAAAAAATCACTAGATTGTGAATCCATAGCAATGCCAAGAGGAGAGAAACAAGAGAAGTAGCATTTAATTTAGAGAAATTTCTGTTCTCAAACTGTTGGCATGGAGCCTTCTTATGCCCTATACTTCCAAGCATCCATGTTATCAGGGTGTTGGCCACACAAAAATCAAATTTAAAATTGATGTCATGAGTTTAGATAAATCTCTCAAGCTAAGGTTTTTATGATATTAGGGCATAGTAATATACCATATACCAAAGTAGATGCTCATAATTAGGTTTTCTTATTAATATCTTTTCCTAGCTAAAACTTTGAGCTGTAACTCACTCTAGGCTGTTTTACTGCCCAATTGGAGTTTGGTGAAAGAAACATTTTTGTTACT